ATTCGGCTGTAATATGCAAGGGTAGAAACAACAATATTCTCGTTTCCAGCGGTTCAGCGCCCCCGCGGCGTCCCGCGTCTTGCGGCGGATCTTCTCGTAGGCAAATAGTGCAACATCGGGATTAATGAGGATTAGGGTGCGAAATTTATGAAATTCGAGTTCGCTGTTAGCCGTCGACGGGCACTGGATCCCTTTGAGAAACACGAAACGACAGCAGTCGAGACGCGAGAGCTCGAGATTGCGTAATTAAGATGCACGCGAGAAAAAGACATTTTAAGGAAACTTTTCGAGGGGAAACTTTCTTCGGAAGAGGATCGCGGAAGATACGCGAAATACCATACCGCGATGGGTATCACGATACCAAATAAGAGAATGCCAGACGCGCGATCCCCGGGGCTGTAAATTACCGAAATAATCCGGCGGTTAATTCCTGCCCGCGCTTTATTACCGCTCTTGATCCGTTAAAATTAAATTCATAAATACCCGCCGATCTCGCGTGCGGGGTCTCGAGACCCCGGGTCCTCCTTCTCGTCTTGTCGTCCGTTAATATTTCATTCGCCCATGAAAGTATCGCAAGCGATCCCGAGGAGTTAGACATTTCGAACAGGTCACGAGAAAAGAAAAGGCTGGTGTTTCGTAGGCGCTAGACGGAGGCGTTTGTACACGAAGGAGAGAGTGAGTTGTAACACGAAAACTACATTATACTATTCAAACGATTGCGGGCCACGCCGGGCAAGTTGACATTGTTGTTTCTGAGGGTCGCCTTAGGCCCCGAATATATCTTAGCGTCGAGTGTACGCAACTACGTGGAGCTCTATACATTCGCCGTGGATACGTGTGTACGTGTATATTTATATGTATCCACACACGTAATATCTTCGCTTGTGCGTGCCTATGTGTGTGTGTACACCACGTCGTGGTACAAGCCCTCGGGGGCTGTGAACGCTATACCACAGCCTCTCTCGTCTTCCTGCGACCGTATATATATATATATATATATATATATATATATATATATAGTAATCAATAACCATGAATCGCTCCGGTAACAGTGCCATGCACGTTCCGTTGCACCGTTATTGTTACTATGCGAGTGCTCGCGCCACCGTGAAAATTATTATCGCCAACGATCCTAGGTCCGCTTGAGCCCGCTCGCGATATCGTTCGCCGTCCGGTGAGAAACTCGTAAATCGCGATGAGCGCGGCTCTCGGAAATGTGTATCCGCTACTAACACTACCGAACATCATAGTCGAGAAATGCATATGAATATGTATATACATAAAACCGACTAAAAGCGACTGAATTGTTTCATTACGGAAATATCCAAAATGACATTGGAATAATTTGACAAATATTAATTGCACTTTTTATTCCTTTCATATTTCTCACCCTTTTCATACGGTACGTTTTTGTATAATACTTATCACTGAGTATCTTCCGATACTCAAGAAAAATGATTTAGCAGTGCAAATAGTACACGGAAAAAGATGGTGCATTAACAGCGTTGGCCGACAACAATCTGATTGAAAGTAATCTTACTGCCAATGACAGTATTAAAGACAGTGTTAAAAAAATTCACCATGCTCTTGTTCTACTAAACTGTTATTGAATTAATTGACAATCATTGAATTAACAATATTATTTTCAATTAGACTGCCGTTGGCCTGCTGTTGAATGCTGTTAATACACCATTTTTTTTCTGTGTACAAAAATGTAATATATTAACGTAAGATATATCATATAATTCAGTCGCCGTTTATATTTCTCTTAGACGTCAGATTCGGTAACGAAATTGACCGACGTACAGTCTCTAGTCATTAATTACCATCTATCTGTCGTGGTTAAAGCGGTCTCGCCCGTAGCGGTGAAGAAAGCGCGTAGGGCAGAATCCTGTTTTGCAAGCGGCTGAATACGACCGCTAAAATTAAAGATATAATTCTCGGTTTATGAGCTGGGTCGCGATTAGGGCTCGTCTAATTGACATAAGAATGATAGAACGGGCCGGGCTTTTATAACCGAACGGAGCGGCGCGGTGGAATCATTTCCTTACGAGGAAAGCGAGTAAAGCTCTTTTCACCACGGCTAATATTAATCCCTGCAATTTTAATGCTTACGACCCCGCAGCCAAATTTCAATAAGGTTGCTCCTCCCTCACGGCGAGGAGCGCCGGGCTCGCATAATTGATTTCCAGTTTTTTTTTTTTTCCATCGCGACAAACTTTTCCAGTCGTCCCTTGGCGAGAAACTCACGCCACTATGCGCCCGTAAAAAGAGCGCAAGATCTGAGAAAAGGTATTTCGCACATGACGTAGCATTTGCCTCTAGGCAAAGAATAATTCGGACGATGCGATGCGTGTGTAGCGACATTGAACACGAATATGCTTTTAGGCAGGTTGCGTTATATACATATATCAATCGCGGAAGATAATTTTGTTAAAAATTGATATTCCACATAGTATTTTTGTATGAACACGAAATCATTCGCGAAGCGTAACACGCGACGATCGGAGAAACAGGAGCCGATGTACTCCCAAGATATTCGTCGCGGCATAGATTCGAGAGGCGTTTTCGCGAGTGAGAGAAAGATAAGCGAGCGAATCGCGGAGTAATCGTTAAAGCATTTCAGAATCAAGTCGATCCGGAATAAGCCTCGGGGTGGATGCAAGGGCTGGTGTTTCGTCGACGACGATCTCTAATAAAGTTCAATTATCCCCGGAAACGTTTGAGAGAGAGAGAGAGAGAGAGAGAGAGAGAGAGAGAGAGAG